TTCATCAAGACGAGTTTCGTTTAAGACCAGTATATCTAAATATTGATGTTGCATGTTTAATCTTAATTCATCGATATGCTTGGGTAAACTTGCAATGTTTAGAAAAGCAATTTTGAAGCCTCTGTGTTTAGGTAAGTTGAAATTAGTTTGATTGTGCGTATTAGAATCGCTTTTATCAACATTAGAAAAGGTTTGGTTAGACATACCAATTCCCACCGCGGAAGATCTTAAACCACTGATAGGGAATAAACCAGCTCTAAGACAGAAGTCCGACAGTCAAAATATTACCCTTGGTATGATAGTGGTAACATCCTTGGGACTTGCGTATTTTGTATTTCGACGTTCAATAAAATGAGCATCTTATTCGGATACGATTATTCTGATACAACGACGGAAGATCTGAGTACTTTAAAACAAAAATTAACAACAATTGAAAAACAACAACAGGGAAATTCGGCAGAAATTGTTGTACATACGAATGATATCAAAAAACTGAATGGACTCGGAAAAAATGTGGTATGGTATGATTTCAGTCAGATTCCAGGTTATCCACCCTGATTTTTACAAACACCTGATATTTCAGAAAGTGATAGAAATAATGCAAAATTCATAGGATTTAGCATCGGTGACGGTGCAAATACCCCGACCATGTCTTCCCTTCAAGGTTTTTATGGAGGTAATACGGAACAATCGTAATGTTTACCCGTGATCAACGTAGTAGAATTATTCAAGTTTCATTTGCATTTATGGTTTTAAATAATTCCGGAAATTTACATGTACAGGTTTTAGGTGTTGAATTTAAAAATATAAATTCTTCCGGAGATGTGACAAATAGAACAGGAACTATAAAAATAAATTGCTTCCTCCTAACAACATAGAATTTTCCGATACCCGTTTTGGGTTTCGGAAATTTAAAATATCCGTGTCAGTCCGTAGGCACTATCAACTCCCAAAACACCCATCGTCATCATGGCATATATGCGTTTTCATTTCTTCCGACGGTTGATAATAATCTTCCAATTTTGGTTTCCGCCGGGATACTGAGTCGTTCATAAGTCTCGTAAAATTTCTTAAATCTTCCAGCGCTCTGTTTGTTTCCTCATTGTCCTTGTTAGCATCCAGGATCTCGGCTCGACGTCGGGCTTCGTCGTTCCTACGCTTTACTTCGGATTCATAAAATTTTTCTTTTGCTTTCGCAAGTTTTTCCAATGTTTGGTTATGTCTTTTCACTTCTTCTTTGTATACTTATCCATTTAATTTCGAGAAAAGAAATCCGGCCCCGGCAAAGGCCACGGCATTAAAAACTCCTCCTGCAACAACGGATGTCATATTTTATTTTATTTATGATTTCTGTCAGCGTCCAGGGCACGACGAGCTAGGCTCCGCCCTTACGGAACGACCTGATGTCATCCGTTTTTACTTGTCAATACTGATCGGAATGTAACCCTTGTTTTTCAGGTAACTCACCACCACAGCGCTGCCGGCAATTCCGACAGTCAGTTTCATGGCTGGCTCCTTTTAAAGTCACCGGCGCTCCGAGACTTTCTCCAAACGCTTTTCTGGTCACCCTAGACAGTCCGGCAACTCCGGCTCTTACTAACGCCGCGTTGTACAGTTCGTTGATCACTTCCTTCTTTGTGTCGGTCATTGTGTTTCATCATAGCTAAAACTTTTATATACGGATCGGTCTCAGTCGAACAGGTCAGGGTCATCCTGCGGTTTTTCTGTGGATTTGCTTTCCGCAGTCTTTTCCCGACGATTACACCACATGATGAAGAGGGATACAAGTCCCACAGTAATACCTACCACCATACCAACTCTCTTCAGGGTAATCGCCGTATCTCCACCTGACCCTTCACACTTCTTTATTTTCTACATCCAAAAACGTTTTGCTCTTCCTTAATTGCTTCACGTTGCGTGCGCTTCCTGGGTTTTGCCTCCTGACTGATCTTGGCAAGCCTGCGTCCTGCCTCCACTTTTTTCGGATCCTTGACGTGGGTCTTCACCGGATTTGTGACCGGCACTGCGGTCGTACTTGGGTTCTCTTCTGACATGTTTTATTTTGCTTAGTAAAATTTAAATATACACACGCTAGCGTGTTCGATCCTCATTTCCACGCTTTGTTTACACCCATGTCAAGTAGGGACCTGGCAAGGTGGTTAAGAAAGCGAAAAATCCGGAATTTTTTATGAAAATGGGAGGAGATCTGACTTTCCTAAACCAGTGTACACTGTAAGGGACGAATACTCTTAATTTTGCTTGAAAGCGTCTCAAAATAATTTTAAGTATGGTTCAAGCAAAACCTAAGTTGTCTTAATTTTAATTTGCTTAAATGTGTCTCAAAATAATTTTAAGTGAACTTAATTTTGCTTGAAAGCGTCTCAAAATAATTTTAAGGGTCCTCAATTTTGCTCAGGAGTGTCTCAAAATAATTTTAGGTAGGTCTCAAGTAGATTTGAGTTTGTAATTACCATACGACAGGGTGCGTATTCCGTTCTCACAAATAACACGTTTGTCGTCGTTCGCAGACAACCCGACCTTGCTGACGGTCTCAGAGTACATAGTCTGATGGTAACTCGGAAGTCCGTTCATTTCCACCATGTGCCTTTTTCCCGGATCCTTCAAGCAGTTGACGTAGTCGTCGAAGGTGAGTCCACCCTTTACGACATATACTCGGACATGCACCCTTCGCCCAACCTCGTTCCCAGGGCTTCAGTGTGAGAACGAGGCGAGACACGAGGAAGCCCTGGTCTGGGCCGGTCACGTGTCTACCCAAAAAATGGCAGCTGTATTATACATTACTTAATATAATCTGTATATATATAATCTACACTGTATATGTAATCTAATACTTGAGCATTCCGTTTAATTTACGTCAAACATGTAAGTAGTATAATAATATACCTTGGCAACAACATAGCGCGACATTTAAATTGACCTGATGATTGTGGCAAGCATTGTTTGTCATACGAAACAAGTTTGTAGTGAATAAAATCTTATAAAGTAAACCAGGAATTAAATAATAACCTGTATCACAAACATCATCACCATTACCACCATCACCACCATCATCACCACCATTACCACTACCATAAATGCCACCATGCATAAAACCTACCATTGCAAGTCTTCGCAGACATGTTCCCAGCAAGCTTTTCTAGTTGAATAAAGTTGGCCAATATAATAACATGCTCATCAACTGGATCTGAGGACATAATTCGCAATTCTCGCACTGATACATGTCCAATCCCCACACTGAATATCACAACACCAGAGTTCTTCAGTTGTTGGGCTGGATAATCAACCTGTCCTGAACTTTGTCCATCCGTTATTATCACCAAAACTTTCTTGAACTCTAAAAAATTGGAACACATTTTAAGGGACGGTATCGGATGTAAATATATAAATAATAAGAACAAACTGATATAGTGGCCCGTCAACGACGCAGGCTAGATCCTTACCTGGGCCTCTCGCTCCATAACGTGACGTAAACATATCATTGTAAGACATATTTAAAGCCAATGCTGTTGCAGTCCCTCCACCAGTGAACGAGATGCCATCGACGGCCGAATCAAACTGGTTTTTATTCGCAAAATTTGCCGAGAACGCAATGTGGATGTTTGCAGAATTTGAATACGACATTACGGAGACTCGTGTCTCTTCCGAGCCTAGGTTGTAGAAGTCTGTGAGATCTTTGACAAATAATTTCATTCGTTCAAAATTACTAGATCCAACACTGCCAGAATTGTCCAATATGAAACCAAGATCCAACTTGTGTTGACACATCGTCCAATTAGCTGAAACTAAAAAAAATGTACGTTATACTCCTGACACCGCGGTAATTACGCGGTTAACCAATGTCATGCGTTATTCGCGGAGGGGTAGGTTAATTTCTGCCACGGAGTAGGAAATACAAGTAAGACCGGCACAAACAAGTAAAAACAAGCAAAGATAAGTAACGAAATTATCTCTCTTAAATTTATTTGCCCCAAACTCAAAAACAGCTACATATCTAGTAATATAAAGAATCAGCAATCAACATTAATTTGTCACTCTGATAACTGAACTGTACATAGGTAAAAAAAAGCTTAAAAAGTACTGCCAAAGGCAAACCAAGAAAGAAAGTAATTTCCTTTTATAGCCATAAAACCAGATTTATTTAATTTTATCCTTATGTTAGCTCCATATACTATATCGAGCACTCTACTTATATATGATTCTAAATACATATTTGGTATATATTAAATTGTATATATATATATATATATATATATATATATATATATATATATATATATATATATATATATATATATATATATATATATATATATATATATATATATATATTTAATAGAGTTGAAGATTTGTAATCCAGGCATTTTATTAATTGAATAATTCTACAAATTATTTAGTTCTCTGGATTCTAATTTAAATGTTTTGAGCTTTCGACTCGGTACTTCGAGCCTTCATCAGAAAGTTGGAATGTTTGAATTTTCGCGCTGTTCTCGTTCTTGAAGCCTTTGGGAACGTCTGATTGGTTGATCACGCATTTCGGCTGATGGATTGTTATTGGTTGCCATGGAGTGCGGGTGATTGCAATCATCGTGAGTTGATATTGAGAAGGAAGTTGCGGGTGGGTTAAAGGTTAATGAAGGCGAAACAGGACTTTTGTGTGAGTGTTTTAGTTGTAAGTATATTATGTACAGGAATGTCAATATGGCGGTTAAATGTTAGTTTATCTATACTATGCCACGCTTCTTTAAACTCACGGGCATGTTTTGTAGTAGCTTGTCCTAGGCATCTCGTTTGAGACCAGTCAAATTTGTGTCCGTTATCGTATGCGTGCATGGCTGGGAGTGAATTATGGTCATGTCTGTTAATGGCGTTTTGATGTTCGGTTAATCTGGTCTGAAGTTTCTTAGACGTTTGTCCAATGTACTTGTCGGGGCAGTTTTTGCAAGTAAACATGTAAATGGCGTTATGTTTTTCGGTTACGTTTGTTTTGTCTTTATGATTAGTGAACTTGGATCTAAGTTTGCATGTTGGTTTGTGTGCAATGTCGATGTTGAACGGTCTGAGAAGTCTAGCTGTCATTTCCGACGTGGTGTTTATATAAGGAAATGTGATCCTCTTTCTTGTTTGGTTTGGTTAGTCTGTGTTAGTTTGTTTCCTATGTGATAGTACTTTGTTGACAAAGTCCAAGGGGTAGTTATTTTTGTGAAAAGTAGAGTATAAGTATTTGCGTTCGTCTCGTTTAGATTCCTCAGTGCTGCAATGCGTGTCAATTCTGTTGAAAAGTGTTTTGATGCAACTGATTTTGTGCTGTGTGGGGTGGTTGCTATTGTAATTTAATATTTGGTCTGTGTGCGTTTTCTTGCGATATACTTGTGTGTTTAAGGTGCCGTTGTCAGTTCTTGTTATTAATACGTCCAAAAATGCGATTTTATTGTCGTGTTCTTCCTCTTTAGTAAACTTGATGTTTTTAGTGGTGTTGTTGATCGTTTGTAAGATGTCGTCCGTTTTGGGTTTTTTAACAGTAGCGAATACATCATCAACATACCTGTCCCATGTTTTGATGTGGCATTGTTATTTGTCACAGCTTTATTTTCCAGGTCTTGCATCACTGCTTCAGCAAGGAAACTGGAAAGAGGTGACCCCATTGGAGTGCCGGAGATTTGCCTGTAGTAATTGTTTTGAAAGCAGAATTCAGTTGAAAGACGTAGGTCAAGTAAATCGAGAATGTCTTGTATATTGAGTTGTGTGTGTGATTGCCATGAGGTATTGTTAGTAAGAAGTTTCTGGTTATTTGTCTTGCTGTGTCAAGAGGAATGGAAGTGAATGAGGAAACGACGTCAAAGGAAATCATTATTTCATCAGGTTCAACTCTGAGATCTTTCATTTTCGACAGAAAGGCTTTGGCATTATTGACAGAATGAGGAGATGACTTAATCAGAAGTTTGAGAATGTCAGCGAGATACTTCGATAGGTTGTACGTAGGGGATCCAGAAAGGGAAACAATTGGTCAGAGAGGGTTATTCTCTTTATGTATTTTTGGAAGTCCATAGAATTTAGCAATAGTTGCGTCGTTGGGTCTGACTCGATCATAAATTTGTTTGCTTAGTTTGTCTTGGTCCTTGAGGGTTTTAAGTTTCGTGTTAATTCGATTCACTGTAGTTTTACTTTGGTCGGTGTCAAGTGGCTGATAAGTGTTGGTGTCATTAATGAGTGCTTTAGCTTTATTAGTTTAATCTAATTTGTCCATGACAACAGTCATGCGTCCTTTGCCTGCGGGTAGAATAATAACATCTTCATCGTTCTTAAGGTCTTTCAATGCTTTGCGTTCTTGTTTGGTGAGGTCGACAGGATGTTTTGAGGGTAAAAGGTTAGTTGTTACTTGATGGCGAATGTTGTTTTTGGCGACATCTGTTAGTTCAGTACCCTTCAAAGCTGATTCGAGGTCGGCGATAAAATCTAGTACTAAAACACTCACGCAAAAGTCCTGTTTCGCCTTCATTAACCTTTAACCCACCCGCAACTTCCTTCTCAATATCAACTCACGATGATTGCAATCACTCGCACTCCATGGCAACCAATAACAATCCATCAGCCGAAATGCGTGATCAACCAATCAGACGTTCCCAAAGGCTTCAAGAACAAGAACAGCGCGAAAATACAAACATTCCAAGTTTCTGATGAAGGCTCGGAGTACCGAGTCGAAAGCTCAAAACATTTAAATTAGAATCCAGAGAACTAAATAATTTGTAGAATTATTCAATTAATAAAATGCCTGGATTACAAATCTTCAACTCTATTAAATATATATATATATATATATATATATATATATATATATATATATATATATATATATATATATATATATATATATATATATATATATATATATATATATATAAATGGTGTTTTAAAAAAATAAAACAAGAACTTCAACCAACAAGAACTATAACCCAGACGTTTCGCCGCGGTTAAGGCTTCTTCAGTGGGTGAAAAATTTACAACAATATTAAGCCGTCTTTTATACATGTCGTCCTAATTAGAATTGTATATAATTAAGTATGATGAGTGAATGAGTCTAACTGTTTGAATTTAAAAGTCTAAAGAGTTAGTAGTAAAAAATGCCAAAAAATCAAATCAATCTAATTGTTTAAATTCTAAACGTATATACAGTTGGTGATAAATATGTTAAAATATTCATAATTATAATCCCAAATGTTAGATTGTTATTGTTCTACCAGTACAACCATTCATTAAATCGCCTGTATGCTTCTGTATTTCCATCGCCTCAATGCATTTACGCTCGTCTTCATACACAAGGTTTCCATATATAATCCTCCATTCAATGTCTTTATTTCCAGGTGTCTGATTCTTTCTCTTGTGGGACATCAAATATTTATATACTGTTTGCTGTTTCATCGTCAGGTGTTCTTTGATGCGTGTTCCTATTGTCCTACCCGTTTCTCCTATATACAATGCCTCGCAGTATGAGCACTTAATTTTATAAACTACATTCTTGTTGAGACATGTATCGACTTTATTCGTACATTTACATGTTTCACAAGCTTTAGAGCAATGTGTCCGTTCTCTGGGTGGAGCAAATACTCTACGTGACGATTTTCCGTTCATAAATTGAATTCTGACATTGTCTATTCCCGATCGTTTTACTACTGCAAAGGCACGCCGGTTAAATTCTTCATTAATGAAGGGAAGCTTTAAATAGGTATATTTAATTTCATCCTCTCTGGTTGATTTGTTATTTAAGGTGTTTCTAATTGTGGTTTTAACAAATTTCTTAGGATACCCATTATTAACAAGAAGACCTGTAAGTTGACGCAATGATTCTCTTCGTGAAGTGGAATCGGTTGAACATGTAACTGCCCGCTTGGTTTCGCCAATGAGAATTGTGCGCTTAGCAGCGATAGGTCCGTGACTGTCCCAGATTGTGATACAACGACTGTGTATAGGCTTAATGTAAAGCTTGGTGGAAACAGTTTTACTCTCCGGATTAAAGGAAACAATCGTGTCTAAGAAGGGTAATTGGTTTTGGTTGGGTAGTTCTAAGGTGAAGTTAATATTGTCATTAAGGCCGTTTGCTATAGTTAAAAGTCGTTCTCCTGAGATACATTAATTTTGACAACAGAAATGCAAAGTAATCATCTATATAGCGTTTAAGTATTACATACCCATCTGTTTTCTCCAAAATCTGTGAATCTAGATCATTCATGTATATGATAGCCAACATGGGTGCCAAATTATTGCCCATTGCTAAGCCTGATTTCTGTTTATAACCTGTCCCTTCAATTAGAACATTATCACTTGATAGACAAAGGCGAACAAGTGTGTCAAAATCATTGTCATCCAGCGGCCATAGGTTGCATTCCTTCTTGTACTTTTGGAAAAATCACTTAGCAACTGTAAACACGCTTGGCGTATTCTCGTTGAGATCTTCAAGTGGTATAGGTCCATATAAATTACAAACGTCTAAGCTACAAAAACTTTCAATTGATTCACCGTCTATTCCAGAAAGGAATTCTTTAAAGTCGTGTGTGTTTCTCAAGTGTGCTGGTACGTATCGGAGTAAAGTGTTTAAAGATTTGGCTAAATATTTTGATAAAAGTGTGGCTGGCGTGTCCGTGGCCGCGTGTATTGGCCGACTTTTCAAATCATCCTCCTTGTGATCCTTTGGTATACAATACACTGGACAAGATTTAGGTTCACTGCAGATGGTTTCCTTTAAATCTTTATACAGTTTTGGGTGATTAGTTTCGTATTTAGTCGCAATTCGGTTGAGTGATTTGTGGAAATTTATTTGCTCGGTGCGTGGAAGGTTTAGTTTCTTAATTGGTTTGTAGTTACCCGTATCGACAGTGGATTTCGTTACCATATCTTTGTAGCAGTCAACGTCCAATGCAATCAGTCGTTTGGTTTTATCAGATGGAGTGATAGCCACGGTTTTGGGAAGTGGATTATAATCTAGCTTTTTCCTTGAAAGCACTCTACTGCCGAATTTCTCACATTCTTTGATAATGCGGGCGATTCCACCTCTAAATTCATTAATAGCACTGTCCGGTATGTTTTGTTCTTGAAGTCGATCTGTAGTGAGTTGTAGACTGGCTTTCGATAATAGGCAAAGCTTTGGTAATTCCCATGGCTCGGCATTAACAAACGAAGGTCCTTTGTTGAGAATGCTTTGAAGCTTTGAGTCAAAGGTTTCAGATGACAAGTTCTTAAATCCCTGGGGTTTGGACTCGGTGGTTGTTATCGCCGTCCCATGATGTTGTCGATATATCAGTTGTTGCAGCTTACGATCTTTAATGTCATTGAGCGAGCTTTCAAATCTGGTGATTTCTTGATATTGGTGATAATTCAGCGGGAAAACAAAACGGTCGATTTTATGCAGTCGGCTGTACTGGATGTCAATAGCAAGTTGCAGCCATTGTCTGCTGTGTTTATTGGCCATCTTTTCCGCAAGAGGCGAGTTCGTCGTATTGAGAAGGACGTTAGTTGCACGTAGGCCATTAGGTATTAGTTTCAAAGACTTACATGTACGGAGAAACGAAATATTGTTGCAGTGGCGAATCATTTTCTTCGCGATACGATAAGATGAAAGCGTTATGGTTGCCATGCCTGGTTTCGATGAGAATGGTGTTTTAAAAAAATAAAACAAGAACTTCCTCACGCATAAATTCAAACAATTAGACTCATTCACTCATCATACTTAATCATATACAATTCTAATTAGGACGACATGTATAAAAAACGGCTTAATATTGTTGTAAATTTTTCACCCACTGAAGAAGCCTTAACCGGCGAAACGTCTGGGTTATAGTCATTATACCTTTTTATGCCTGAGGAAGTTCTTGTTTTATTTTTTAAAAACACCATTCACATTGAAACCAGGCATGGCAACCATAACGCTTTCATCGTATATTTAACAATTATACCGCATGAGTTCGAGTCGTATATGAGCTGATAGCCGACGAGGTGCGTAGCACCGAGTCGGCTATCAGCCATATACGACGAGAGCGAATGGTATAATTGTTTTATAATATAGTCTAATATAGCTAGCATTAACTAAAGCAGCAATTAATTATTCACTGTTACAATGTGTTGACAATTTGTTCGGCCAAAAACCGCTTGAAAATTTGAAATACTCTTGTTTTACAACTCGAAGACGAAGTGAAAGAAATGGTTTTAGAAATGGTTTTCAATCTCACAGGAAAGCTCAGATATATTATACAGATGTTTGGTACTATAGTAAGTGCTTGTTGACTGCAAATTCATTTGTGGTCCATTGCAAACTTTTCTGAACAATTTATATTCTCAATGAACATGTTTTTTCGCTGTTGTTTCGGTATTAATTCCTTAAAAAACTTGTATTTAAACTAATTTCTACGTAATAAATGTATTTTGCTAACCTGTCAAATTTTTTTTGAGAGTTTTTCTTTGTACTATTATGTTTCGCTACTCGCCGTTTTTCGCTACTCGCCGTAAATGAGCTGATATAGGGCGAGTAATTCAACCAATCAGATTGCAGAACAGCTCATACGGTGGATGACTATATTATATATATATATATATATATATATATATATATATATATATATATATATATATATATATATATATATATATATATACACGTATAGGGATTGCACCTATGACCTATGTTTATATTATCATGATTTCTTGAAACAAAAAAGTCATGAATAATAATTCATGTATAATTCCCTATTAAGATTTGGAGGCAGTTGAAGTACGGACTTTGTTGCAATAGATTGTACGTACACTGTACAATAAGCTGTCCTGGTTTGCCTCTGAAATTCATGAAAAGATCATAACACCTTGAAGCTTCGAGCAAAGGCCATTCGCCAGTGCTATATTATATAGATGCCTCATGCCGGCCATGTCATTGCGAAAACCAGCTCGAGACCTTTTTCCAGATAGTTCAGATACAAATCACGGCATCTACGAGGAAATTTCCGGCCACCAACATCTATATATTATAACATGGCAAATGAAAGGACTATATATATATTTGTAATTAAAATCAAGTAAGAAAATATATACAAAGAAAATTTCGAAACTTGGAACTACTGGGGGGAATTTTACACTCAATTATTAAAGGAAATTTATTATATTACGCATATCAATGTATTAAAATCCTATACTGGCACTGCCAAAATGATTTACAATATTCCTAAATTTAAATAACTCTATTATTCAGCTACTAACCTCGCGATTACATGAAATACACTGTTTTGTAGACGACATTTCAACATTTAAGTTTAAAACTTCACTTGATATCTGCTGCGCTGTGTTTTCAGTATTCCGCTATAAAGGAACAGATTGTATCTATGTTAAAAACAGAACAAGACTGACCTTGAATATCTTAGTCTGAATATAATTCTGAATATGTGGATATTTTTAGCTAAGAATAATGAGCGGTTAGTTTGATGTGTGGGCATAAATATCAAAGCTAATATAACACTCCTTTTCGTTGCTATGGAAACTATAGCAATGAGAAGTTGAGAAAATTTAATGAATTTATTCATGACTGCATGCATGGCGCAACCGCAAATATTTACATTCCGAGTAAAAAATAGAACGGGACAGCCAAATTTAGTAGAAATGTTTTAAGTTTTGTAAACTCAATTAAAATAGCTTATTTGTGTTTGTGAGAAATGTAAACTCGTTGCGAGAGTGAGTCATATAATATCGTATGGCGTTATAAGTCTTAACTATACTTAAGGCTTTTAGGCTACGTTTACACTTTTTCCGTAGCAACGTGAAAAAACACCTACCCCGCTACCCGTACCTATTAGGAACTCTATTTTCACAGGAATTATTGCAACAGGGAGATGTTGTTTCGCTCAGCTTCTGGTAGTTGTACATTCCGTATCTATCTGATCGGTACTTTTTCGCGCCGATTTACTATCCGGTATAGTGTAAACGTAGCTTAAATTAATATTAAAAATACATATATACATGCAGCAACCCCTCGCATGAAGTGCTGTTTCAAACACTCTCTCAACACAATTCATTTCGAGCTGACAGTAAAACTTTAAATGAAAAATCGAACTTTTGCTTAACATGAAATATTTCCTGCGAAATGGTAGTAACATTGTGAACTATATTTTTTATAATTTTTCTACAAAATTGCGAATTAACTGATTGGAAACACTTTTAACCATATAATTTTCAATTGCTGAATTATATAATGTAGGTATGTTATTAGGCTTCTATAAACTCCAGTTGATTCCAAAATTGAATCCGATAGAAGTTTGCTAAAACCTTTAATTTAAAAATTTAACTGCTTTTCGCCTTAGAATATAGCCTTGGCGATAATTTTTATCTTTGAAACGAACTGTTTGAAATAAAGTAATTCTGTTCTACTTTTGACTTTTTAAATTATATAAACTAAACTTTTTAAACCGACAAAGTGTGTGTATTATACAGGGTGTATAAAAAAAACTGAACCCTTTCAAATTCAAATTAGCTATAATTTTGTAGTAATTTGACAGCTCTAATTGCCTTGAATTAATGGTTGGGTAAGAACACAAGGTCTTGTACTCATGGGACAAATCTCTTAAAAACTTTTAAATTTTCTACTGAATTTTTATTTCTTTGAGTTTCGTCCCATGAGTACGAGACCTTGTGTTCTTACCCAAACATTAATTCAAAGCAATTAGAGCTGTCAAATTACTACAATACGTTATAGCTAATTTGAATTTGAAAGGGTTCAGTTTTTTGATACACACTGTACTTTATTTGTACTTTTAACGTATATGGTGTTCATATTTACTTTATTTGTACTTTTATGGCTTTTGGCGTATCATATTTACTGGTTCACATTGTGTTGGAGTTAGTGTTTTTGGGATATAATAAATGAAGCTATTTCCAAGTTCTTTGTGTTTATTTAATGATCAACATTACCGAACAAACCGACAAATAAAAAACCAACAATAATTAAGTGGGATGTATATGAAACTTACGTTGTCCTTGGCCACTGATGCTAAATAATGCTTATTTCCGTCATTTTCAAAGTCAAGACAAACGAAATGCACATTGCTCCATTCTTCAAATTATTTCTTATTAAATTTGTTTTGAAGCTTTTCGAAAACCTCAGCCATTCATTCAGTCCCTGCGTTTGACTAACTTCCGGGCGTTCGTTGCTGGGTTTGCTGGCGAATGTTAGAGTTACGACACCGGACGGATGAAAAGTTTATTGACATCACCCGCAACGAACGCCCGCGAGGTAGTCCGCCGTATTTTTTAGATGTGTGAGATGGCCACCCATGTATAGCAATGCCCGTGATTCGTGATAAACGTTTTAATCCGCTAGCTTTTCTTTTCGCAAGAGTGTAAATAGCCAAGCAGCCCTCCGCGATTGCTCGGGAAAATACTGCTGCAATGAAATATAAAAGATGCTCTAGATGGCAAACATTGAATTTGGTTCTGACATGATAAACCTAGTCAAACAACTTCTCCCATGCAGTGAACCATTGAAGCCATTCTTTTCGGAAAAAATCGGTAAACCAAGGTCCGGTCTATGAGAAAACAAGGTTTCAAATCATCAGACCAGTGAAAAGTGTTTATTACTCCTATGATCCTGAATTTGCATTTTTCAAATGTTCATCGAAGTGCGTAAAGACAATTGAAATTTGACCGCACTTTACGCTATTATGTTGAACAACAATGTGTACGTGACTATGCGATTCCGGTGCAGCGCTCTCACCGACTGAGCTAAAGAGTCCAGTTGTCGGGCTCTAACCACAAGTTCATGTATAAACACTATATAAGGTCAGTGAAGCCAATGTATATACGGTGTATGTTTGGGTATTTCACTCTATAATATAACTATTTTTTTAAGGGATTTGTAGATGGAAATTTCGGGGTAGAGACCTCTGGAAATCCTGTTGGACTTTTAAGACGAGGCCCCCATATAGCCTAGTTTTAGACAGTGTTCAGTAGTATAAAAATAGATTATGTATATATAAGGACAATTTAATTGCGATGAAAAACACAAACTATTTACAAACAAATATGGAAAAAGTTTAAGGAATATAAGGCATGCAAGTGTTCCTCAGGATGACATGCAAACTTTTATATCTTTTACAGGTTCTTTCCATGACCAAATGTTTAATTTAGATATTCAAAATAGTCCAGTCAAGATACGAAGCATTTCATATAACAAAATAATTAGATAAGTCAACAACTTTTCTCTGGACGTGACATTAGGTATAGTGAATCGCAGTTTTGCCCTCAGCAAAAGCAGGCACTCATTCAACAGCCGAATATCCGAGCCAAATTGGAAACCTAATTTTATTTATGTGAAGATATTAAGCTCACAAATCCCTGTGAAGCATCTCAATCTAATAATTCGTTAATTAATATTTAATCTTGCGGATAATCATCATGCATGCCCTTAACTTGGTGGCTTAATTAATGAATAATGATTCACCAAGTATGTTTTTTTATGTATTTATACCATTTATAGTGCTGACTATTAAAGTTGCAACAAAATAAATAAAAAAGAAAGGTTAATCAGATGAAAGCCAGACAATGTAGTACAATACATCGGATGATTGTAAGGTTAATTAATGCGGTGTATTGCCTATTGGATTACGATGTCTGCGAAAGTGACATACCTGAGATGTGTACTAGCTCTTGAAAACACAATTAAACATTTAATAAGAAATACATAATACTCTTAAATAACCAACAGAAAGCAGCACTATAATCTTAGTGTTATGTAGTGTTTACATAATTACATCATGTTTTCGATGGACGAAGCATGACTATACCAATAGACAACGTATGTCCATAGGCGAACGAAACGGGGCCGGGTAGCCACCACCAGTCAGTGTGTAGCCAGGAACATCCTGCCCACCTCGGTTTAATGTTAATTTGTCATCATGTTATTTAGTCAGAGCAACTGAATGATAGATTAAACTTTGTAAATTGTATGCAGTAAAGTGAGGATGATTGTCAAGGCGCATCTAAAAGAATGAAATCCCATCAATTAGTGGTTAATGGTCTTATATTATTTATTGATCGTTGTATGATTGACTTTTTGTTTCCGCGCGTTTGTATTGGAAACGTGTCCTTTTATTATATGTACCTTTTATTTCTCTATCAATAAAACGGGCAAGTTTTGGACGAGCGGCCCTAATTTTTTCCCTCGATTCCCGTTGCTTTACAATTCACTCACATTTCTTGGTGAGGTTTAATTTTTGTTCCATCTTCTCCCTACATTGCTGAAACCGAAATAACTAGTAGGGCAGCTACGTTATCAGAAAATTGCCTATCCGAATGGTTTCAGACTGGCCTGACCAAATTCAGAATTGGCAGCAAAATTGACGAATTCCATCTTGGCCAGATTTTCAAAATCTTGGACCGGATCTGTCTATCAAATAAGCTAGGTATATTTAAATCTGCTCTGACTGATCTGCCCGCGTAAATAGAAAGCGCGCGTGTGGTGTCCCATCCAGGGGATGCCCGACTTACATCCGGTTCGACATGAAGGTTTGGACACGACAGGAAATTGAACGGAAATATGGCGATCATTGCATGGCATCGCTCATGCAGTCAAGAATTTTCACGCAGTTTTTGTATAGCTTTATACTTTGACTTTTATAAACCAAATTGTGCCGCTCAAATTGTAAGTTTAAATTAAAGTGTTTTTAATCGATAATTCCTAGCTATAGACGAAAGTTATATCTAGACAAGGAGAACGAAATCCATTATCATAGCTGGAAAGAGCATCTTAAAATCAGTTGCAAAGATTGGTTGCTAAATGTTGTAAAATGAGGAAAATATAGCCCTGTGAAATTCGCAAATTTTGTATATATCTGTATTACGCGCGTAATCAAAAATATATACAAAATTTGCGAACAGAGCTATATTTTCTTCATTTTACAACATTTAGCAACCAATCTTTGCAGTTTTACTCATTCTAAGACGCTCTTTCTTGCTGTGCTGTGCTGTTGGATTTCGTTCACAAATTAGCCTATAGCTGGAATCACCCATTATGCTTGAGTCTTGTAACACTGTTTTACGCCTTTAATGATATTAGTCGTTCCTTTACTTTAACATTTTAACTATAAATCAAAACCATTCCCAAATATAAATTGCTGAAATAATTTAGTAGATCGCCTTATCAATATCTACAATTTGCACATGCCCATTTAAGTCTTGTACGTGTACGTGTACGTGTACGTGTACGTGTACGTGTACGTGTACGTGTACGTGTACGTGTACGTGTACGTGTCCGCGAGTTTCAAGTAATCAAGGCCGGCTTAGCTTGCGAATTTCGAGGCTTGAACACCGCCTTGTGCGAAAAAATAAAACTCCCGTTCACATTTTCAAGATGCAATAGCCCGCTGGTATATATTTTGGCTCATTCCGCCATCTGGGAAATCAGTACGTGAAAAAATTTAAGTCAGACGTGATTTCATTAAACAATACTTGATCATGAAATAGCTGCAATGAAATATATTTCTGGTGACAAAAGCAACACATATATAGACCAGCTAGAAAACGTTCCTATAAAACTATATATAGTTTTGAATTCATTAATTTTTTGGAAAACAAGTTATTTAACTGAAGAATAGTGCTGGGAATATTGGAAGCATATGATGCGCCTGTTCCAATTATAGCAATGACGTTGCTAACAAATTTGTTATCTGGTCTCACTGGATTCTTTTTGAATATCGCGACCGACATTACCATGTATAATCGGCCCAATTATCAAATATATCTATATATAGGTTATGAGCGATTTACTATGAAAAAAGACTGATACGGACATTAGTTTATTCAAGCTAACATGCCCACCAGACGATTTTACTTGCCAGTGAGAAAATCCTCGCACAGAAACTGGGCCAATCAATACAGGGAGTAGTCAAATTTTAAGAAACAAATAGTGTTAATTGAGAAGGAGTCGAAGGACCCTCAATATGCAATATGCACATAAAATGTTCACGGACATTTCGGAATTTTCAGTTAGTGTCGAAAATTGTCCAGTTTGAATTTTGCCCCATGTGAATTCAAAAACCTTCCTCTTTTGTGCGCTAGTCATTTGTAATGTTGTTGGCAAAAACAGCCTTTTGCTGCACATATGGTAGTTTAATTTTAAGACTATTTTATGATTTAGAAGGAGTCAGAAGACCGTTTATACTACCCGTATTCAAATAAAAGTTAAGGTTGCGAAATTTTCAGTTCAGTGATCATTGAATTTCCCCCCTTTTTTTCTAGTTTAATTATATACTTTAATTGGATCGTTATAAACTGTGCCGGCCATTTTCCTAACTCTTTCCCTTCCAACTCTTGTTTTGGACAGAAACTTCAGTTATTTTTATTACAATAATTTTGATTTCCAATGTGGGATTCTCGAACTAAAACTTTGAAAAGTGTTGTATAGAATATTGAATGCAAATCTGAATATTAACACTATAAGTGTAAGTGTATACAAACCTGTAAAACTGCTTGTCTGCTTCACGGATTAAGTCTCAGTTCAAACAACACGTTTGTCTACATACTATACTATAATGAATCCTCACTGTTCTTCGTGGAATAAATATATTGACCAGTAAGTAATATAAACAACTGCCACCCGCAAATTATTTACTAATCTTCCAAAATAAGAGAGAAGCCACAGGCAAAGGTCACTAAGAAATAATATTATGAAGTCTTGAATTATATGCATGCACAATTAAATTGAGATTACGATTCGTTCACGTCACACGCTGTGAAAACAATCAGAACGGATTTCCGCTATTAGTAAATGATCCCTACTCATGAAAGGTCATGAAAGTTTAGAAATAAGGCGTTCCTGACCTCTAAAGACCGTGTTTGGTGAAAGACTTCCCAGAACTTTCGTTCACAACTTCACATGGTGTTTCAAGGTGTACGAATATCCTGGTTTAACATAAAAAGACTAAGTTGTCAAAAAAATGCAAAAAATTATATTTTAGGATTTGGGGCACCTCACTCGATAGAACTAAATGTTGAGGGGTTAATAATAGTTTAAACTAAATGCAGACTTCAACATTCAGTTCTATGTAGTGAGATTACTAAATCCTGGTATTTACCCATGCACCTTTCATTTGGCATCACCTTAATATAATCACATGAATTTGCTGTTGAAGCTTGACAATTTAATTGGATTCTATCGTATGGCTGCAGGCTCGACTCCTGCCAAAGCCAAAGGGCATGTAGTTGCATTTTTTACAGCTGATCCTGGTCATAGTTCTAAACTCGTATGCATGTGATTTACATTCGAAATTTCCATCATACACAAACTCTTCAATGTATATAGAGCATATTAGACGGTTGCGAAGAGATATGAATTTTATGTTCGATTGGCAAAAACAATATCTCACGAGTGAGCGCAGCGAACGAGTGAGATATTGTTTTTGACACGAGAACATAAATCCATATCTTCTCGCAACCGTTTAATGTTCTGTTTATTATATGGACTTACTCAGAGTGACAAAAATACACACAAAGACGACATGTAAATAAGCACGCGAAAGACCAGTATAAAAGCGATATTTTTAAAGATTATAGTGCAAACATAAAACGATAGAATAAATTTTACTTATCTCAAAATGTGTTTTAAATGTTTTCGTTTTATTTCCAACGTTATAATAATCTATACGAACCAAAGACAATTTGTATTTTCAAAACAACAATGAAAATGGCGGGAAATTTTCGAACTTCGTATGTCACTAGCAGGGGTGAAATACGGAAAATACGCGCACCTATGGTCCCGGATGTAGTGACGTACGAGTGTTTTAGTTTCCAGTAAAACACCATTGTCCATATAATAAATAGAGGGTATTACACGGTGGCGAGAAGATAGCTATTAACATTATTTTCGAGTGTTAAAAACAATATTTTACGAACGAGTGCACCTAGTGAGTAAAATAATGTTTTTAACACGAGAAAATAATATTCATATCTTCGAGCCTCCGTGTAATGTTCCTTTTATTATATGGACAAAAATGACAAGAAATTCAATAAGAGCAGACTTTATTTGGCAACCGCATCAAACTTGTGGGCCTATAATTACAGAATTAAAAACGCAAAATCGTGTGTTTTCGTTCTTGTTTTCTTCGCAAAATCGTATTAAGTCATCGCCAGAAACTTCAGAAAAAAACTTCGGCTGCCATTGTTGATACTGAACAAAACAAAGCGGGAAAATTCGCGACTCGGGACGGTCGCGCGAGGAAATACACGCGTTACGTTATTGATATAATAATGTACATCAATGATTTGCCAGTTGGCTGCTTGTCCGCTGAATGCATCCCTATTTGGCCGATGGAATTAAGGTATCAGTAGTTTACCGTCACCCGCCCGCGTGTGTTATTGGCAGCCGCGTGAAATTTTCATTATTTCAATATTTTTTTCATTATTTAGTGACAAATTTGTATAGCAAGTGTTACAAAAATGGCTTTCTGGGGTCGTTGTATAAAACTCTTAATCACTTTTTTAATCACTATTTTGTAGTTAAATAGTGATTAACTCTCATTAAACAGGCGCCACTTATTGGATGACGTTGGCACTTAATCATAGTTAACTTTAATCACTTTTTTATACAACCGGCCCTGTTGATTTTTTTGGCAAATATACTGACTTTGTTTCAATACAGTTAGCGAAGCCACGGCGAAACGGAGTAAAAGACATACAGTAGCTGATAGCTCGGAAGCTAGCAAAACGGTCCAGAATCGTTGGATTTTTTCGGTCAGATTTATTAGTTTTTTAATTCATATTTTTTATGATGCAGAAATAATTTATTAGTTTACTTCGCAAGTAAAATTACTTGTATAAATTAACTAAAAAAACTGAACACCCCAAATACAACAAGACTTGAATGAGTTTACTTATCGGTTATTGATATCGATACTAAAGCAAAAGAGTGAAAGATACCGTGCAGTAATTAAAATATCTAGCTATTATTATTATATAGAACAAACTGGTCAAAAAAATTCAATTCTAGCAAGATCTCAACCGAATGTGGGCAGAGGTTTCATTTGAATTTTTTCTTATATAAGGTTCATAAGGTCTACGACGGGTCAAAACAAAGAAATTCTTTATGCAAGACAAAAACTATGAATACTTTGTGATCTCATGATGCGGGGTGTCCTCAACAGCGGTTCTCATATTCTGAATACAACGTTAAAGCCTGGTTTCCATATAGTCATAACTGTCGCGAACGTGTTGTAACTGTCGTCATAGTTAATAGAATAGATGGTTTGGTAACTCATTAGAATAACAACATAACTCATTAATATGTTATTCAACGTTTATTCATAAAAGCTGCTCTCCAGTCACGCGTTTTTCAGACGTGCGTATACGCACGTAAAATTTAAATCTTTTAAAATTTAACACTAGTATGAATTACATGTACAAATGCACATTAAATCATTCACAAAACTATATGCCTTCCTTTTATTCATTCAGTTATTTCATAAGTAACATTAAAAAAGATTTAAACTTTTCCGTGCGTATACGCACGTATGAAAAACGCGTGACTGGAGAGCAGCCTTAAATCTGGTCGTTCACCGTCACGTGCGTATTGTATTTTTGCCAAATCCACCAATAGTAATTTCCAATTTACCCTATATATTGTTCGAGTCACAGATAGATAACTTTCCTAAAACATTAATTGCTATCGGTTAGTTAGGCAAAAATACGATACGCACGTGACGGTGAACGACCAGATTTATGAATAAACGTTGACTAACATAGATAAATGAGTTATGCTGTTATTCTAATGAGTTTGTCGCGACCAAAATGGGAACATAAAGAAACGTCTTGTCGCAACACGCTGGCAACAGTCCACGACAGCTACAACAGTGTCGTTGAGATAAACTCGAGTTCTATCTCGACGGCAGTTGCGACATGCTAAAAACGTGTCGTGACGGTTATTTTTTAACGGTTTAACCATCACGACATGTTTTTAGCCTGTCGCAACTGCCGTCGAGATAGA